ATTCCTCTGAGCTCACGATGAGAAGATTAAAGGCATCCATAGAGCCATCAAGATCACAACCCTGAAGACAAACCTGGGATGTTGAATTCCTTGCTAAGGGAATAAAGGTCACAAAAGATAGTGGGTTTCTTGTCAGGATTCAGTATTTCAAAGGATGAAAAGAAATCTTGAATTAATAAACAAAGATCTGATCTTTGTAGACAAATAGAAACACAAAAAATAAAGGAAAAATACTGAGAAATCTTGTGAAGTTCTAATATAAAGTCACTCAGATGCTTTCTTAAAACTACCAGACACTAAGCAGTGGGACAGAAATCTTTGCTGTGGTTTTAGCAGATTCTGAAAATCTCTTCCAGACAGGATTAAAATAACCAGATGTGCTTTTTTTTGTTGCATTTTTACATTTCTAGTACTATTCTTGTGCAAACTAAACAGACACATTGCTTAAACACATAAAAACTTGAAGATGCCTTTTCAACATCACCAACTGAAAATTTACTTTAAAAAAGTTTGTTCCTCCTAAATGCAAAACAATTTCCCTTCCTTCCTAAGCAACAGTGATTACTCCTGCTTGCTGTTCCCTTCTGCATACCTGAGTTTGACTAATTACCAATAAATTCAGCAGAGTTGCATCTCATTTCAAGAATTCTTTGAGCATCAGAGATTATTTCTGGTCAGGAATGACAGAAAGCACACTGCACAAAACATTTCTCCATCAGTAACGGAATATTTTACAAAGAATAATTCATATTATTTTAAACAGGAAAAAAAATCCTAGGGTTTTGATTTGAATTATTTAGAGGAAAGAATGCTGGCAATGATGGAAGTTCAGGCTGTCAGCAGAGGTCACAGAAGGGGACCCTGAAATATTTCTAAATCTTAATCATGTTGCAGCCCATCAAACTTTGTGTAAGATTCTAAAATGAAAGATGAAATTACATCAAATCTTAATGTGCCTGTGCTAGATACTTAAGTCAATTGACTTTCAATTCATGGATACAAATATTCATCCAAGATCCACACTTTCAAATGGTGGTAGACCTACAAGAATATTAATATTTCTGTGACTGTGTTAAATGTCTTGCTCAGCTTACTTTAAAACTGGGCAAAAGAATGGTGATTTGATAAAAAATCAGACTAAGTTGGTGGGTGCTATGGGTTCTATTGAAAAGTGTTTTTAAATTATTTCAGACTCATAAAATATTTCCATAGAGAGTGCTTTGAAACTGCAAATTAAATATAGAGCTTCTATGAACTGTATCCATTTTTCCTGGAAGCACAGATTTCCATGGGGGTTCATACCATCTTTTTTGTCTGTTACACCAGCTAATAATGCAGTGAATTTGCAGTAATAGGGCAAATGTTATTTTGATGACATTATCTGATTAAATTAAAGATGACATTAAAAGGACCATTTCAATGGGAATTGAAACCTCAAAAAGCAACTGTGGTTGAACACTCAGTTGCTCTGTCCCAGACTTAAAAATTGACAACACAATATTTCACTAATCTAAATGAAAAATAAATTCAGATAACATTTGACTTTTAGGAAGGTACATCTTCAAACTCTGAAAATAATAATGTTTTAGAATCTGTGTTTTTACATGGGCACAATTTGAATTATTTGCACAAAATATGTTCATGCAGCAACAAACATACAAATATGCAGCAAATGAAGCTAAGACAGGATTGAGAACTGAAATTACATCTGCTGGCACAGTGACAATAAACCATCAGAATCAAAGAATGAAATCAAAGATGGAAGAATCAGTCGCCTTCCTCACTTCCTCACTCAAAATTCCATAAAATATGGAATTTTATGAAATTCATAAAATGATGAGACAAAAACTTATGCATGACTGAAGGGTACAGAACAGAAGAAAAAAACATTAAAGAAGTTAAACTTACTGGAGGTTTTCTGGTGCATAGTACTAAAGAAGTTGTAAAATAAACTCCTCTTATGAGCTACATGTTCACATACATAAATCAAGTGACTGTTTGAAAATCCCTTGACTTAAGCCCTCAGAGATAGAATCTGTCTAAGGAAACATTCCTGAGCAACGTGACTGTGTTAAGAATTTCAGAGGCTTCCCAGGAACAAGACACAAAATTAAAGGTATGCAGGGCTTGGGCCCCATCCTGCTCACAGCCAGGATCTCTGCAGCCCCCAGGAGCTGCGACATTGTGGGTCTCAGATTCAGTCAAAGAAAGAAACTGAGAGTTTCTAGCCAGGCAAAAAGCCTGGGAAAGTGCTAAGAAAAAATGTAAATAATTCTTTATCTCTCTTGTTTTTCACATAATTTATAGTTAAGTTCTATCACTATGCATCAAGAACTCTGCACCGATGGTATAAGTTGTTTTCACTTCAGAACCAATGAATTTAATCCTTGCGAAGCTCTGTATAAAAGAGCAATGTATTTTAAATAAATCAGAGTTTTACTCTCACAGCCTTTTGAGTCAAAATCTTCATTCCCGTCCTGCCTCAACAGTGACACGACATCCCAGCTCTGCACAGGCACATCCCAGGGCTCTGTGGAACAGCTCCAGGGCACACCAGGATGGTGCTGCAGGTGTTGGCTGCCTCGGAGGCTGCTTTTCCCCGTGACCTCGAGGAATCTTTGTGCTTTATGAAGTGCACAGGTGATGGGTGAACACACTGAAACCCCTCAGTGACTCTGTTTGCTCTAAGGAAAACCACTCAAGTCCAGTTCTAGATGAACCCTGCCGCAAAAGACCAAAGTCTCTCTGTTTTGGAGACTTCTCCCCTTACTACGGATACTCATAAACCTGAATTTTCACTCTCTCCATAATCCCCATCTTTTAAAGATGGCACTAACTGTGGACAAGTGTCCATCAGGAAGTGGCATGAGGTCAAGCTATTGGTCAGGACATCAGCAGAAACCTCCCAATTTCTGCAGATCATACTAAAAATAACATTTAATTCAAAATAAACCCCAAAACAAAAGCTTCAAGTAAGCACAAGCCAAGAGAACATACACCTTTAAAATACTTCTCATAAAAAAGCCTTTATAAATTCATAGGTTTGCAGGGACATCCATGAGAGGATTCGAGAGAGCTGGGGGAGAAACAATTCAAGAAATGACAAGCAATTATAAATAGCTGTCTTTGTCCCCACCCTCAATGGAAAGGGGTCAATCAAAAAAATGCCAAAGGTCACCAGCTGTAAACAGACAAAAGATTGAATAATACTTCAAGATAATTATATGAAAAAAATTATATTTAGTAGATAATAATGCATTGGTTTCCATGTTTATTATACCCACCAAAAAAATGCACCATTACAAAAACCCCACAGACTCACGCAAAAACCCCTTAACAACAACAAAACAAATCAAACCAAACATCACACACCACGCCCACCCCCCCAGAAAAAAAAAAACCCAAACCACAAACAACAGAAACCCAAGCAAAGCAGAACAGGTATTCCTTGACACGTAATTTATAAATCACGAACTCTTAGGGCATGAATTGTTAAGGACATCATAAATCTTACCCTACTACATAACAATTATTGTATATAAAGACATTCTGCCACAGAACTTAAAAACCAAAAAAACATTTGATGCCATGTTTCCCAAAATACTAGAGAGTAAATTTAAAAACTGGCAGCAGCTCCACTCAGTAAATCTAGGGGTATACTTTAAAACAGACCTGTCTGGCATATAGATTAAGCAGATGATATTTGCACATATGTATTTTCTGGCACTCAATGAAGTAAATACCATATTTTTTTTATTCTTATCACTGTGATAAAGTTATTGGCAAGAGTTTTCTGTTAGAATCATTGAGAATAACATTCCTCATAAACTTAGCTGGAATACAAGCCATAAGCAAAGTTGCTTGATTCCAGTTTCTCTTCTCCAAGAGTTACTGATGTATAACTGAGAATTTTAGAGTGGGATAATTTTGGATGACATGAGAAACAAAACTCTTCAGTGAATTTCCCATGGTTTTTATTGAAATATTTTGGATAGTATTAAAACCAACCACTTCAACGAGTAAAAACATATAGAAATTTAAAACACGGGATTTTCTGTGCTTTAAGACAGCAGGCATAAAAGTTAAATATGAATATGTTGTATATATTTTCATGTTTCTTTTAAGGCACAACACAACTTTTGTGTTAAAGTCTTAAATTTACCATTCTTTCTTGGCTAATGAAGTAACAGAATGGTCTTTTGGACTTACTTCACCAAGCAATATAAATAATTAAATGCAGTAAGATAAAAAATTACACATCACTCCCATCTACCAATTCCACATCCACTCCCTCCAGCAGTCCAGCAGCCACAGCACAGGTCTCTGGGACACATTTAAGAGGGTGTTTAATTAATGAGTGCATATCCAGCTCAGAGGGGTTATGATGTCCAATTACAATTTCAACATCCAGCTGTAGAGCATATATAGAAACTTTGTTACACCTACCCACCTACCCTCTAAAATAAACCACTCTTTATACATAAAAATCCATCTCCCAAATAACCACTGACAAAGAGAGATGGAGTATTGTCATCAGCATAATCAAGTGAAAAATGTGATTTAGAAAACATGATTTAGAAAATACTGATATCCTTTTCAGGGAGATTAAGTTCACCTTACTTTGTGATGAAGAAAAACACTGCACTAGATTGAATCAAAATATTTTGTTAGGTCATCATATGCCTGAGATATTTGTACATCTTGAAGCACATCTCCAGAGCAGACCATTAACAATCACAAGCCAAGTAAACAGGCTGAGGAAAAAATTACAGAACTTTGCAGGATTGGTACTTAAGTAGATTCTCCTTATGACTAGAAAAGCCAATTGAGCATCACGTAAAATATGCAAAACCCCCACATTTTCAAGCAAAATAAAGGGGGATTATCTTAAATTTGACAGATTAGTTCAGGAAAAATCCATCTGGGCCATCACTAAGCTATTTAAACTCTTTCTCTGCTTACAAATTTACTTATCAGACTTTCATCTGTTCCGTTCTTAGCTGCAACTGCTGATACTGCCTTCACCAGATCCAACAGGCCTATCTCATCATCTTGGTGAGTATCTGATGCCTAGGAAAAGCCCAGGAACACCAGCTCCACTTTTTGTAGAACATGGATAGTCAGCACCTGAGGGAGAAGCATTTTGTCTATGTTTCCAGTGATATTCCCCAAAGGATCCTCCAGAGCTACTGTCAGTAGCACAGGTCAAACACCTTGCATGTCCTCCAGATGGAGGAAAGCAAGGCTTGGAAAAGGGGATTAGAACAATAGAAATGTGTTCAGCTGTGAAATTAAAAGTAGGACGGCATGACACGCAACATTATGCGTTGAGCTGAGTCAAAAGCAGTAATTAGGCTAAGCTGAAGTATGAACACACTTGTAACCAGAACAAACGCGTGTTTTGTGTCCATTGCATTGACTCCTCACAGCACAAGTGCTCACCTACCCCTCCCCAAGGAGCTCATTACCCTCCCCATGTCCTCAACCCCATCTGAAGGGTCTCCAGACCCTTCCCAGCCACTGACTCTGCCTTTCCTTGGAGCCCCTGCAGAACCTCCCACCCCTCTCTGTCCCCCGGCGTGGGTGGGAGGCAGCGTGTGCCGTGTCCTGGAGCCCACACGTGCCAGCTGGCAGCCAGCAGCCACCCAGCAGATGTCAAAGCTGAATTTTTCCTGCTTTCCTGCAGCAAGAGCACTAAATTGGGTCTGTGTCTGCTGCTCCACCTGCCAGCTTTCTGCAATTTGGGAAGAACGCAGCTACCTGGAGACTTCAGGTCTATTTGGTTGAGACAAGTCTGAGTTCAAAAGTTAGTGGGAGGCACTGACTGACAAACTGGTAGGCAAACTAAACAATGAGCAGGAAAACACAAAAACAGATGTCATAAAAGCACAGACGTCAACAAAAATAGCACCACAGCAGCAGGTTCCAGGCTGAGGTACAGTCAGAAGTGCACACAAGCATTGTGTTCAGCTAAACAAGCAGTTGCAGCATAGCTAGGGACCAAAAAACACAGGTTAAGTGTCCACATGGTTGCACATTTAAACTCCTAATAAATTGTCTATCCCAAAAAAAAGTGCAGTGGATACATAGTGACAATAAATAGGAAGACAATAACTGATTTAGAGAATAATTGTTCTGCAAAAATGAAACAACCTAACAAACACTCTGATCTCATGGGTTTTCAAGGGTCTACACATTTTCCCTGCCATGTTCTGAATAATAGCAAACTGTTTATTTCTTTGACTTCTTGCAGTCTGTCCTTGGACACAAAACTATTATATAAGAAAAAAAGTTATTTGATTACTAGTGTTTTGTCAATAGCATTATTGTATGTCCACTGCAAGGCAAATCAACCTGAACTTTGAGAGCAAAGCCCTGAAATGGTTGTGAAAGCAGCCTAAGATGTTATTTTGGGACACTTTATATATTTCCCTCTCATAGTTTGAAATTACATTTTCAATTTAGAATACAAAGGAAGCAAAAGCTGTTATAAATAGTTGGTAGGTGAAACACCACTTTTTATAGTGCCAAAGCCTGTAGGATATGGGGCAGGCCAATTACTACACTGAGCAATGCAAAGTATTATCCTCTGGCTTTATTATAATAACAGGTTATCTGATTACAGCCTGTGCTCTGGCCTCAGCACAGACTACATTCTCCCACACCACTGATGGCACATTTTAGAAACCCATTAATAGCTAATTCACCCAGGAAACTTGAGATTTCTGTATTGAGGCATGAAAGTTAACATTCCTCATGCGAATGTCCAGTTGGAGCAGCTGTGCTCAGGGTTTGCTTAATAGAACCTTCCAAAAGAAAAGGAAACACCTTTCCACTCTCACCTGAGCTTATACTGAAAATCCTCAATGCACCTGTCCTACAACAGATGTAGAAATTTAGCTGTAGGATAGACATAAACGCAGGAGACTTCCTGTGCCCATTTATTCCCCTTAAACTTTGAAATATTAATGTTTCAATCTTTATTGCTTCAGGAAAAGGCAAGAAGTAATTTTTTTTAAAGTAGCTTCAGAAAATATAATATTTATCAAACGCATTTGCTAGATATGAAAAGGGTTTTGGATTTCTTTGGACTTTTTGCACTTCTTTTCTGGCCATTTTAAGTATTTAAGAGAAGGTTAATTTTTGCCTTGTTTATTGGACAGGTTAATTCAAAAAAGTGTTTGGATGTTATTGGGACATTGAACCCCAGAAGAGCTCTCCTTGCAGATCCACACTGGCTGAAGTTTAGCACTGGCACAGTGCAACAGCAATCACACAACACTGGGTTGGGCTGTCATTTCACAGACATGGCCTGGAATTCTACAAAATAACTCTGACATTGTCAACCAAGTCAAGTATCACAGCAAAAAAATGCTGCTTCAGGGTGAAAAAAAATAGGTTTCTGCAAAATTTCGACCGTAAAACAGAGGTTTGAAAATTTATGGTGTGTGGGTTTGTGAAGGTCATTGGAGGGAAGGAAGACTCGTAGCAGTAGTAAGAAAATAAGTAAATTCTCGCTGATATTTTGGAGCACTGCTTGGTATTGCTCAAAGTAACTTTTTACAACTGACTTGAACAGCAACAACCTTTAGCCAGGATCTTGGGACAGTACCAACCAAAATTCCTTCATAATATTACCTTTTCCATAAGCTGCTCCTTTACTTTCCCACAAGAATGTTATGTGAATACAAATAAAAGACAATGTGGTCCTGGCTTGAATGGGAAGTGAGCTGTGTCCCACAGTCATAATTAGGGAGGGCAGTGGCCCATGAAATCTTTTCACCAGGAGAAGATCCACACCATAAAAATATCTGCAATCCTGTGGTATATGGTGCACAGTTTTATAATCAATATTCATTCATAACACTCTATAAATGGGTGTTTTGTAACCTGATGCTGAATTTGAGCTGCACTTTCTTTAAAAAATGATTTTGAGGGTAATCAAGGACAAAGGGAGGAGGAGTTTGGAGCTTGTCTACTGATAAAAGCCAACATAATATGGATAACCAGCAAGAAGCTTTTCTGTTTGCTTGAAGAGTACTGAAACCTTCAACTGGCCTTTACACAATGAAGTGTTAAAAGGAGATCCAGCGCCTTTGAACTAAATTAGGTCAATATTATATGCAGGACAGAATTTTATGAGGGTAGGGGCAGAAAGCTGTCACTTTCTTTTAATTTCAATAAACCATACACAGCATCTTTTAAAAATTAACTAGCTCATAAAAGTTCATCAGTCCTGAATTGTAATTAATTTCTGTGTGCAGAAAGATCATTTGCCCATAGGTGTTGCTTACTCATTTAAATCAGGGGCACTGCAGCTACCTGACAATTCTATTAAAACAGTTCTTGATGAATCCTGGCTTTATTTAACAGCTTTAAACACTGAAGCATTAAAACAAAGTGGTGATACCCATATACTAACAGAGGTAAAACTGCTACCTGCCATTCACTGGGCAGGGGTTGAGGTGGAACAGTACATGGGGAATTCCTGACCTCAGCTACATTAAGCATAAAGATCTTCAAAGTGTGACAGCAGCAAAAAAAAAAAAAAAAAAAAAAAAAAAAAAAAAAAAAAAAAAAAAAAAAAANAAAAAAAAAAAAAAAAAAAAAAAAAAAAAAAAAAAAAAAAAAAAAAAAAAAAAAAAAAAAAAAAAAAAAAAAAAAAAAAAAAAAAAAAAAAAAAAAAAAAAAAAAAAAAAAAAAAAAAAAAAAAAAGGACAAATATACCTCAAAACAGGGGTGACAATACTTGTCTCTCCTTATCCAGGAGACCCATTTTTATCCATTATACACAGTACTGTTCAATACCCCAGCTCAGCTAGAAAAGCAATTGTTCTGCCATAATGACATAACCAATATTATTATATATCAAGCCTTTTAAGAAATCTGAAGAAGAAAAAATCCCATTATTTCCCACAAGAAGCTGCTGCTATCTGTACCCAACAAACTCCTGTACAAGGTTCCCACATGTGACGGCAAAGCTTTTTTTAGCTGCCATCACCCTCCTGTTTACTCATAGAAAAATACAATGTGGCACATTGCTGAATTGAATGCCACTTACAGCTTTAATAAACATTTTGGCATGGCTGCTAGAATTCTTTTTCTCCCCCTCCTTGCACAGCCACGTGCTCAGTGAGCACAGGAGCTGCCCGAGCGCAGTGCCCGTGACCAGGTAAGTTCATACTCCTGCTAAGAGTTTCTCAGCCCTCCGCAAAACACATTTTCACTATCACAGGAACAGGTTCTCCTAAACCCTCTGGAAAGTCAACGTCTAAAACGCCAAGCCTTCAGATCCAGTGTTCAGATACCCACGGATGTAACTGGAGCCTCCAAACTTAAAAGTTCAAAGCTTTTGTATCTTTCCACACCGGATCCAAGCAGGGCTCATTACACCTAAATAACAGTGTCTGCAGAAATTTCAGGAATAAATAGTGAGTTTGACCTTGACTTGATCTCAGTTTCCACTGCAGAGGAAGCTCTGAGCTTCATGTTGGCAGCAGTAGGATTCTCTCATCTATGCTTTGGCCTTAATAGAGGTTTTGTAAGCACATCCAGGAGAAAAATAAAGTAATCTCTATAAGGAAATAAATACATTTAATTCAGCATTCTATGAATTACACATTAATACAATAATGAAACTCTTGTCATATTAAGATAACTCTGTAAAAAAATATAATATATATATATATTAAAACCACTGAGCCACTTGCTCCTTCCCCAGATTCATTTATCTAAAAAAATATGCCAAGTAGCCAAGACAAACATTTCAAGTTCAAGAAATGTCACCCTTTGTCTTGCTGCAGTCTGTCCTTTGTTTTCAGTATGATGTGCTTCCACTGGGGTATAAAGACATGAAAGAATATAGTAGAAAAAATTAATTTTTACAGATACCTAGAAGGAGGCAGAATTAAGCTAGCATGGACAAGCATGAAGTCTGACCTTTCCCAACTTCAGAGTTCTGGGGGGGTTCAAACTAGAAATTATTTTTTATAATATTTGTTTAATTTCTAGCTAATATTCTGAATTTAACACACACTTCGATGTTCAGTTCATGC